AGAGAGAGAGAGAGAGAGAGAGAGAGAGAGAGAGAGAGAGGGGGGGGAGAGAGAGGGAAAGAGAGAGAGGGGAGAGGGAGAGGGAGGAGAGAGAGGGGAAGAGAGAGAGATAAAAGGGCCAAGACAGAGGAGCGAAAGCCGCGTGGCAGTGCAAGAAGGAACATAGTGGTCAGGTGCGGTAACCCGAGTCAGTGTGTGTACCACCCCCTGGCACGGGGGTGGCACAGAAACGCCGTCAGCGTGGGTGCCGGTGCCGCAGGGGCGCGCCTGGCCCGTCGGCTCGCCCGCAGATTAGCACGCCGATTAGCGCCTACCTCGGGCCCCTTTCGGCGTACCGGCCTGGCGACCTCGGGGGGCCTTACGTCGGCGGCGGTGGCTGTGGCGGTTCAGCAGGGGGAGCCGCACGCTCCCCCGGCTGCTGCGTCACGCCGCGCCACGCCGAACGGAAGCGCCAGCGGTTCTGGCTCGACCACGGGTTGCACCACGACTACGACTGTCACCACGAGTCGTAACAAGAACAGAGCCATGTCCGTGAGAAGCCTACACCGGCGCGTCTCTCATCCGTAAGTTATGGTCCATCTAACGTAGTGTTATCGTTACGGAGCAGCCACACCTCGGCTGTTATCACAACGGCCGTCCCGTTTCTATATTTATGTCTACTTACCTATCTACCTACCAACACACCCTACCTGCATCTATCCACGTGTTACGTGGCGAACTTTTGCCATTCGTGGTCGGGCTGAAAAGAGTGGGCGAGATCGACACCTCAGTACCTTCAATAACCGGCGACGTTGACTCTCTCTCGGCATGGACGAATATAACGACCGTACGATGTTGTGTGTAATACATATACATGATTCTTCTCGTGTTTTCTCATGTCTTTCGAGCTATGTAATTCTTCTTCCTGTTATTATCATGTAAAGTAATATCATATAAATTATTATTCCTTTATTATTCCGTTTCCAAGATTTCACTTGGATCTTTTGTTTCTCTCTCGCTTGAAAACATATATCATCTTGTATCATTAATGAACGCGATTTTTAACTCTTTCGCTGTTCTTTCGTGAAGTTGTACACTCTCGAGAAGAGCTTTTTATTTGCGAATAATGTGTATACCTGGTCGAAGGAAGCTATATATAGCGGGTTGTCTGAAAATATTAGATATAACCGTAGTGTGTAGAATAAGTCGAATTGAACAGGCTATATTTGCGAATTTCGCAATAGTTATTAAGCGATTACTTGAATGATTACTAATATGAGAAAATGTACGCTTTGGAAACAGTAGACATATTTAATGAAAGATGATTTTCAACTTGTCAAAAACAACGGTGTCTTACTTTTGAATTTCCTAGCAGCGGTGAGTATCAGCTGTTATCGAAAGAAAGAGTAACGCAATGAACGGTATGTAATAGGGGCTGCGTGCCGAAAAAGGTATGTCTCTCGCTATCAGCTGATACTCACTTGCTAGGAGATCTTAAGAAATAAGATATTTTTCTTACAGTTGAAAGTTATCTTTCATTAAACATATCTATAAAGTACGTCCTACCGCTTTCAGTACATTCATTGACTTATATTGTTTAATTAATTCTTTAATAATTATTGTAAAATTTGCAAAATAGTACATAACTTTTCCCTCAATTTTTACTCAATTTGAAACTTCTACTTATATACCACAGTTATGTTTGGAATTTTTTAACACCCGGTACATATAATGTTGTAGAATATACATGATAGAATATGTAGAAATGCAACACCTCGAAACTGAAGAGAGATTCTTATTAATTACTATTGTTATCTTCCAAAAATCTATTTAATTTTTTTATTTTTTATTTTTTCATATAATATTGATTCTAATACCATATCCCGCAGCTGACGTGTGAATATCGTCTCGCATTCAGTGGACGGTTTTCAGTTTATGCATGCTGCAGCGAAAAAGTTAATTAAAAATGGGGCAATTACGCTTGGGCAAAATTTCTTTTTCTATATTCTCCGTAAACATTGATCTTTTAGTAATAGTTAATTAATCATTAGGTATGTAAGTTGATTTGGTGCATTTAAATTAACTCTTATTCCTTTTTTAAAATTATATTTTAAATTTAAATATTTTCTTTCGTGTGCCTGTGTGTGTGTCTTGTTAGTTTTGAAAAAGTATTATTTATGTTTACGAAACACTATGTGACATACAAGAGACATTCGACAACGCAGAAATTTAAAAAATCTGAAACTTTGCAGAAATATAGAATAGACAACTCTAATAACAAAAAATTTTTTATTGGTGCCCAAAATCGGTTTTAGGAATGAAAACAGCCTCTTAAAAGAAAATCGGTACTTATGTGCAAGCAAATATTACCTAAACTATTAGAGATATAAAGAAATATTTTCAACAAAAATTTGATGTTTTCGATAGCATTTTATGAAGATATTTTTAAAATTTATATTTTTCAAAATACCATTCACATTTTTTTCTAATATCTGAGATTTATTTTGTAACGAAAAGCTTATTTTACGCCAAATTTAACTATATATAATAAAGTTATATTTCAAAAATGCATTTTTTTAAAATTAATTGAAAAAATTCTTTGAAAAAATACACATACTATCTGTACCAGTCTTACGCGTTCACTATTTAACAGCCCTTTCCTCTTATTCTCTTTTTTACTTTTTCCTTCAGAATTTCTTCTAATAGATAAGAATGTAGATAAATATTTATAAGATGCATTAATCGCATAAATAATTTTTATTAATTATACATTTTATGTATATCATAATAGTAGAAGTACAGTAAGAAAAAGATCTAACACGTCTTTGATTCGATAGGTTACTGATTAGATAGAACGATATAGCGAAATACATTAATAAAATAAACAGTTGAAATAATATATTATAAGTAACTAACAACTGATGAAAATAAGTTGAGGAGAAGGTGATATTATTGCCTGTGTAAGTATATTGGATTTTCTTTTATCTCTGCTATTAAGTAGCGGATTCTAGGAGTAATTTAGTTAATTATTATTATATAGTTATAATTATTAGTTAAGTAAGCCGTCGTTACATACTGGCGCTAATATATCTAGATAATAGCTGGAATAAGTTATAACACACATTTTTATTTCGAAGCATTTCGGAACATTCTTATAGCATATTTTAGCGTTTAATTATACATATTTCTATCTCCTCTTCTCCTTTGGTTATTATTATATGGATATACAGGGTGTCTGACTTATACCATACCAGAGTTAATATATAGCTAGAATAGGTCGGGATGAGTAATAGAATCGATGTCTTTTTTAAACAATTATGTAAAATTTCGAGTTATTAAATAAAATAGATGGGCTAATCAGAGCCAGCGACGCGGCAGGCGGGATATACGGCTCGTCGCGGCCGGCGAAGAAGATGGACGATTGCTCGCAGGCCTATCACGCAGTGTCAGATGTAAGACGTAGTCCCCACCTCTGGGCCTATGAGATAGAGTCGCGAGCAATCGTCCATTTTCTTCACCGGCCGCGGCGAGCCGTATGTCTCGCCTGCTACGTCGCTGGCTCTGATTAGCCTATCTATTTTATTTAATAGCTCGAAATTTTACGTGGTTATTTAAAAAAAGACACTAATCCCATTATATACCCTGATCTATTCTAGCTATATATTAGTTCTGGTATGGCACGAGTCAGACACCCTGTATATACATTTCAGTGTACATTCAGTGTGTATTTAAATGTTTTGGACGTTATTTAACATTTTATTCGGCTGTACACATTTCGAGTTAAGCAAAGTTAAATAATAGCTTGGCATTTTGATAACATAATCCCTTAAGCGTGCTGATGACTGTTAATAATATGCCTCTTTTTTGAGGTTTTTCAAAGGTATCAAAGATTTTTCGAGTTATCAAAGTATTATTCGATAAGCTAATTATAGTTCTATTGCTAATCTATAGATAACGTTATATGTACTGTAAATTTTTTGAAAAACTAATTGAAGCTAAGTTTAACAGTTTATTTGTTTTGTATAGAAACTGTCCTAAGAATTTATTTTGAATAAATTTATAAATTTGTAACAAAATACTGTGTATTTTTAAACAAAACAAATTTTTTAGATCTAATTAGTGGGAAAGGGGGCACATTATCATCCCTATTTTTCTTCAGCAGTTTGCAGTGTCGTTACATTTTTATAAATATTGTCCTAAATAATAAACATTACATAACTTTGTTTAAAATTGATTGAACAATACTTTGACAAATATAATCATTAAATATAATCATTAAGTCTTCAATTTAAAATATTGTTTATTAACAAAGTTATTGTATAAAATGTAAATGGGGGCCAATTATCGATTAAATAGAATGATACAACGAAATATAAGTAGTAAAATAAATAATTGAACTAACATATTATAAGCAACTGACAACTTAGGAAAATAAGTACTTACATTAGTGGGTGCATAATAAAGTGCTAAACTAGTACGCATTGTATGTCTCATTAATTGTTATTTGTCTCATTAATTGTTATCTGTAATATGTAAAAATTTTAACCCTTAGCTGACACACTTCACCATAATTCACATAGCTGATACACTGGGCCGTTTGAGACCCCAACCACTAAAATGCTTGCTGCGTACATTTTTTCACTTGAAAAAATTCCAAAATAGTTTTCAAATATCGATTTAA